TGGGCCGAAAGATCATGGGTGCGACCCACAAAACGCCGGGGCGATCTGGGCGGGAATTAGAGTGTATTTAAGGACGAGGTTGGCAATAGTGAGGTAGAACGTCCCCGCCGGATTTTCCCCCTTTCCCCCTTTTTGCTGGATTGAGTTGTATTTTTAATTGTTTTCATTGATTTTATTTCGCGATTTGGGTTTTTTTTCGCGTAAATTGTTTTGTTGTTAATCGTGCGAATAAATATTTGTGTTCGCAACTTGTGTGCGTGGAGCTAACACTGTTTTAAACAGTTGATATCTCTCATTAGAACGAATCTTTCGGTACATGGGGGCCGAACCGTTCGAGAATATCAACTAGACAGTGTCAGGCAAACAGCGCACGCAGGAAGTGGGGGATCAGGGTAGCAGGTAACGAGGCTACTCTGGTCTTGAGGATTGGTGAGGCAGGCCGAGAAGATTGGAAAGGCGCCCACCACTGGAGCAAGCGATTGAGATCAAAGGGCAAGGATCGAGTGTGGCCCACAGGTTACAAAAGGGCGCAAAGTAAGCCGTCCGAGTGTAACGGAAAGGTCGTCAAGGATATCGACCGACACGGAAGGCAGGGCCCGAGGGGAGCACACGGGGAAGGACGCAAAGTAAGCCGTCCTAGAGTGGTGAAGACTCCACGGAGCATATTGGTGATCGATTTCGGTTGGGATCAGAAGCGAGCAGGTTAGGGACGCAGAGTGAACCGTCTTCGATTGGGATCAGAAGCGAGCAGGTTAAGGACGCAGAGTAAGCCGTCCTAAGTTATTGTTAAGGCGTCAGTTTTTTTTACGCGGATTCGTGCGTATTGTATTTCGCTCGTCGTGCGTGTTGTGATTTCGCTCGTGATTTTTCGTGTATATCGTTGGCGTACCGATCGGTTTAAGATAGCGTGTTCAGAAATGGCGGCGGAAAATGAGGTGAACCAGGATACGGACGCAGGAGTCAACTCGAGGCAGGTTAGTAGTGAACAGGAATTTGGAGTGGAGAGTATAAGTGAGGTGTTGGATAAAGTGGTGGAGGAGATAAGACAGGGACCAGTAAGGATCGAGAAAGACTTGACGGAGGCCCGAGTTGCGGGGAAGTACCGGACTCAGTTGATGAGAGTGTGGGAGATACAAGCAGAGCAGGCGTGTAGCATGTTGAAGGAGGTAAAAGCAAGGGCGAGAGGGTATAAGCTGTTTGGGAGTGAGCTATTTAGAGAGCTTCAAGAGAAAGGGATAGAAAGCATGGATGATTGGAATGAATACGCAAGAGTGACAGAACGTGACGGGGAACTTCTTGCAGAAATATGTGATATGTTTCAGACTGATGTTGCACATATCCGAGGAGTGCTTAAGGAGCTGCCCAGAAATGGACAAAGAAGACGGGTTGAGCCCGGAAATGATGAAGAAAAAATGGAAACCGATGAAAATGGTGAGTCAAGAGATGCGACGAATAGGATGGGTCACACATCATGGAGGAATGAAAGTATTCAGGGCCCATCGAGAAGACAGATACCGCAGACTGGAGCGCCCTGCGGGCAAGTTTGGAGACAGCGTTCGGAACCATCGGAGGAAGCAATCGGAACGTCAGGTCAGGACCTTTTGAATGTTATGGCACTAATTCAAGCCAATGCTTGTGTAAGTCCAGGAGTATTCAAAGGGAATTGTCATGAGAATTTTGAAGAATTTATTCGACGATTCATTAGGAAGTATAGAACTGTGATTTTCGATGATAAGACTTTGCTAGATATTATGGTTGACGATCATCTGGAAGGTAGGG